TAGATGTTCAAATGAATTTTGATATACATTTCAAGTCAATGTGTACACTCTGATGTACAGTTATATGTTGCTTCAAAGCATTCAGAGCAACTGATATGTTGTAAGATAATTTAAACAAGGGCTTCTTGAAGTGAGAGACACAAATTAAGACAAGCATCTTGCTCCCTTAAATAAGTCATCCAAAGAGCAAGAAGCAGGGAAATGTTGAAAGCAGCTTGTAGAAAATGTGCCCAAAGGATTTATTAAAGTTAAAGAATTTACTTTCCCATTGTACCTACCATATTCTTCCAGAGTTCTCTTCAGGCCATGGTTCTCCTCAGTCAGGATATTGCAACCGGCCTCCAGATCTAAAACAGAATTCTCAATGTTTATCATATCACAGTTTTTTTCAGTTGCTAACACAAGCGGAATTATTTAATCTCACACTCTGCACCCTATTTTCAATTCAACTTGGCACTTTTTGCAAAGCACTGCACACGGTTCTCCAAGTAAGACACAGAAATCTGACATATCCACTTTTTTTACCATTTTCGACATTTAATCTATTGATTCGTGTTCACCAACACGATTTTCCCCTTTTTTTCGTGTCACACAGAACGATTTTAAAAGCAATGTATTTCTATTGGTAGTATGTTTCGTGCCTGCAACACATATTTTTGTCCGGTCGGGTCTTGGAAGACCGGAAGCTGTGGGGTTCATAAAAACATCTTCTTACTCAATATCAAGCCACGATTATTGTTTTTATTTTAATTCGTATAATGTCGGACTTTTCTTGTCGTCTGTGAGGAAAATAAATGGGGCTCAGAGCCTCAGAATACTGAAATCTGTATTTTTTAAATCTTTTTTTCTTTCTAATTTGTTATTCTTTTCTAAATAACACACTGTTATTTACTCAACAATAACACACAATTATCTTTGTTTTTATTTATTTGTTTGATTCCATAATCTCTGGCTTTTTTGGCGTCCGTCAGGAACTGAATTTCAAAATAAAAATAACCGGAAACAGACGTAGGCCTATATGGGACATTTCAAGCATCATTGCGATACACACCACTAACCCACTGCACTGATTACCCAAGATCCTCAGCTAGAAGCTCGGTGATTGGATTGTTTAGCCGCAATGCACGTTGGGATACAGTATGGTGTTTATGCGATATGAAATCCGAAAAACATTTAAAAAAAAAAAGAAAATAATACTTTATTCCGAGTGTGCTTGCTTTTCTCTTTGAAAGTCATCACATAACGGCGTGGATCATAAATATAATAGTATGGAGCTTGAATGCTCTTGTGGGTTTACCAAAATGTGGGTGAGTAGCTTTTTATTTCCTGCTTTTTTACACATACTCTCTCCAGTACAGGTTAGCTCTCAGTGTTAGCGATGCTTGCTAATGTAAACAAAGACCATATTACTTCCAAAACACGTTGCGCATTGTTTCTGATAGCAACGTTTCTGATTGGGCCGTGGGTGTAAAGCCAGGCCACATTTCCGATATTACGTCATATCTGCAGCAAATCTGGATCAGCTCCGTTTTTAGAGATTTGGGTACGGAGGAAAAGAGAGAGAATTTTTCTTTTCTGACACTTTGTGAGTTCCCTTACACCCTGGACAGAGGGTTCAGCCTAATCTAAGCCGATTTACTGTTGCCTCTGTAATCCGGACACTTAGACTTGAAAACAGGTTAGTTACCAGTTTTTAGCTCTGCATAATTCATGATATATCAGTGCTTATATCTGTTGTGTGAAACGTATTTACTTCATTACTGTAATTGAATTGTTGGCATGTTGCATACTATAACTGTACACAAATCCTGCACAATGTACTGTGGTAAACTGACTTTTATGCAACACAAACACTGACCAACCACCAGTGTTGTAGTCAAGTCACCAATTCACGAGTCCAAGTCACTCTCGAGTCACCACTCTTCGAGTCCGAGTCCAAGTCCGAGTCACCAAGGGAGAGTCGTAGTCGAGTCCGAGTCCAAGTCCGAGTCACCCAAGGAGTGTCCGAGTCGAGTCCGAGTCCGAGTCATCATTACCTGTGTTCGAGTCCGAGTCCAAGTCCGAGTCACCCAAGGAGTGTCCGAGTTGAGTCCGAGTCCGAGTCATCATTACCTGTGTTCGAGTCCGAGTCCAAGTCCGAGACACCTAAGAAGATTCCAAGTCAAGTCCGAGTCACAAGTCTTCATGTATTAATCTTCGTGGATATATCTGTTGAAATGTAGCTGCTCCTCTACATTGCTTTTATCCTGTCATGTTATACTAATCTGTCTATTGAACTGCTGTGAAGCCAGTTTGGCTACAATTCTTGTAATAGGTGCTATACAAATATAAAGCTTATTACTAATATTAATATTATTATTATTATTATATATAAATAAACTATGTTTAAAATGAGTTACCTTTTAGAGAAGTGATTATATTTGTATGCCAATATTTTCCTATGGTAAAGTTTTCGTTTTGCACTTTTATTTTGATAGTAATAAGATCGGGACTCTTATTTTGAAGGAACTTTTACCGGTTAAATCGGTTTACTGATGAAGATAGAGTGGCGAAGTCCCTCCCCTTCCGGTTGAGCCCCATGGGACCTTATTTCGGAAAAGTTATGCATTTAAGTCAATGGAGAGAGAAAGATTATCTTTCGATCCCGTTTGAATTGTGCCACGAATTACACATATGATGTTTGTCAATTTAAAAGATAATTTTGCAAGTAAAAAAAAAAAAAATGTGTCGTAAAACTGTGAAGTAACACATTTGTTTGTGTGAAACGCTCAATGAACTACATCTCTGTTCAACAACACACGTCACCAAGATGGCCGTCACTACTGTCTTGTCAACACAACGACCCTCACTATCACCACAATGAAACACGTCCTGAAGAATGTCATGCAAAGCTGCCTGCCTGCCTTCCTTTGATTCTCTCTGAACTGCCTGGTCGTTTTAATGTTTAATGTCAACCATTTGTGCAGATAGCATGAAGTAGAGAAGATCGCCGATGCTAACGTTAGCGTTAGCATTTCTCCCCCGGGCTTAAATGGTGTATTATAGAATGATCACTCCGGTGACAGTACTATTCAAAGGGTTCACGAAATATGACTACTACTCTTACTGTTTAACATTTTGGGTTACTTAATGTTACTTCATGTTAAGGCTAATAAAAATGACAAGGCTGTAATGCTAACTAACGTGCTAGCTACTAGCTAGGTAGCTAACTTGATCCACACACTCCTCTTTCATCAGACGGGAAGCGAAAGAACGAGCAAGACCCATTGCTGGTATAATAACAACCTGGTACTAAGCACACAGGCATCTTGTGAAAGTTATCTTATCTTAGCCGATCGTATATATACGGTATTATACGTATATCGTAGTGTCTCAATTGTGACATCACTTACGCGATTCTGGGATTTGTAGTCTTTCTAGTTGCGTATTTTTCATAGTCTTATATTTCAACAGTTTTACGACAAACTGTGACTTTTTTGACATGGAAATGATTTTTTAAGATTGACAAACATCATATGTGTAATTCATGGCACAATTCAAACGGGATCGAAAGATAAGTTTTCTCTCCCCATTGACTTCAATGCATAATTTTTCCGAAATAAGGTCCCATTACCCGGAAGTAAGTGGGCGTGACTTCGCCACTCTATTTAGCCCCAGAAAGCACATGGCCACTTAACATGCAAAATGACGTCATTCTGCATGTTAAGTAGCCATGTGCTTTCGTGTTATCGGCTGAATCTTTATTTATTGATTAGATCACGTTACTCTGATGATAGTGTTCAAGACAGCCTATATGTCTGAACTCGATGTTTAGAGTAATGTGTTACGGAGCCTTCTCTTCAATATTGTTTCCACATAGAGCATTTTGCGCTGCTCTTTTCCAATGTGGAAGCAGAATGTGTGAAAGTATACAGCACGATGCAGGGTGTGTCTCTAGACATCTTTAGACTGGAATAGCGGGGCCCAGTACGTGAACTCGCCTCGCAGCCGGTGCACACGCCAGGATAGAGGACATCAGACTCCATAGAAAACTTGCTCGAGTCCGAGTCCGAGTCCAAGTCGGAGGTCAATGTACAAGTCGAGTCCGAGTCATCGTGGGGGGAACATTTCACGAGTCCGAGTCGAGTCCAAGTCAGCGTACGCGATAATTCACGAGTCCGAGTCCGAGTCCAAGTCATCGTGCGCGAGAATTCACGAGTCCAAGTCCGAGTCGCGTCAATCAGTGCGCGAGTCCGAGTCGAGTCACGAGTCCCGAAAATCGGCACTCGAGTCCGAGTCCAGGACTCGAGTACTCCATCTCTGCCAACCACTATATCTTTGTTGTTTATCTGAAGGACTGAGAAACAAAGAGGTGCAGGTGGAAAGCTAAGGATTTTCAATGAGGCACAGGAAGCAGCAGTTACAAACTGGGTTTTGGCAAACAATGCCATCACTCTTAGAGAGATCCGAAGCATAGTAACTATATGCTGAGATAATTGTTGCACAATGTTATTTTTGAATAAAATATGATTTTTTTCAACAACTCATTTGTATTTCTTCATTTACTGTATTTCTGTAAACTCAAGCAATCTTTCTCTGCAGAAACCTCTATGTACAGAGCATAGCTCATAAAAGATGAAAGTGCTTTAGATTATGCTCAGCAGTGTGTAGTTGGGTGGTCAAACAATCTAGTACTATGAAGTGTGTTATATTTGGTGCAAAAGTTTGCATTTGGTAAGTGTTTATATAGTTTTGAGTGCAGTTCTTCATTTAGCAGGAGAAATTAGGTGTTTTGCACTTTGGGTGTGTGGTTTTGTGAATTGTGTTTAGTGTTCTGAGAAACTGAGCAATTAAAAAAAATGTATGTTAGCAATCGAAAGAAAACTGTAAAGGCACAGTCAATAATTAGCTCTTCCTCTGCAGCCACTTTTTGCTGTTCTCCCAATGTACAGGATTTAACTGGAAGATTTTCATCATCATACTTACTGAGGTTGATTCTCTTCATCTCGTCTCTCTCTTCAGTCAGGGAGTTTTGCTGTGAAACTGTCATTTTCAGTGGAGAGGTTACCAACAACATTTGATTATGTGATCAAATAAACACATGATTCAGTTTAAAAACTAAATGTCCACCCTAGCTTTGTTGAAAATAAAGCACAACTTATTGTTTACTAAAAATAATTAGAAAGGTTTGAAAATGATGATTCATACATTTTCACTGGGTTAAATGTCCAAAAGTACTTTGATATACATTTCAGTTCATAAATGTAGACCCTTATGGACAGTAATGTGTTGTTCGAAAGCAATCAGGGCAAATTATTGTCTAATAGAAATTACTCAAACAAGGTCTGTTACCATTTGCACTATCCGACTAAAAAGTTATTCGCACAAATTAAGAAGATTTAAAAACAGCAAGACGCAGGGAAATATTATAGGGAACTTTAATATACACGGAAGTCCAGAGCTCAAGTATCTTTTTTCCTTTAATAATTGGTTTCCTCATTGTACCTACCATAGTCTTCCAGAGTTCTCTTCAGGTCATCTCTCTCCTCAGTCAGGTTATTGCAACCGGCTTCCAGATCTAAAACAGGATTCTCAATGTTTATTATATTAATATATCTATGATAATGTATGGTGTTAAATTCCTCTTCCTATTCTAATACCAAGTTATATGTTTTCAAGGAATTGATGAATGGAGAGGTTACCATTATTTTTAAGAGGACCAGAGGATTAATACAGTATATTAGTCATCTGGCATACTTAGGCATGAAAATTGTGCCAGTGTTTATGCTTTGTAACAGTTTCTTTTATTCCCATATTTACCGGATAAAGTGCCATTTAATTTGTGTGTTACGACAGCTGTATTCGTCTGCCTGTATTGTCTGTGTTTTATTTGTTGTAACATTGTTCATGCTGCCCTCTTGGCGTGGTCGCTCTAGAAAAATATATTTTAATCTTAATGGGACTATTTACCTGGTTGAATAAAGGATATATATATATATTTATATATATGTGTGTGTGTTTAGTTCAGTTAAGTATATTTGTGAAGAAAGAACATCTTGTTTCCCTCTTAAAGCCTTAACACAAGAGCCAATGTGTTATCAACAACATCTGTATCATTTCCTCTTATGAAAGGTACAATGATAGATATGACAGAATTTATATTTAAAACATGAACTAACATTATCAACAGAATGTGAAGAGCCTACAGTGTTGACGTTATTTTTAAGACGTCTATGTGTTGCAGAGATATCTAGGGTTATTAGCATGCTAACTGACTAGCCAAGGTCATGTGTCATGTGTTGTAATATCACTTGTTCTTCTAGAAACATTAGTGAGGGAGTTGTAGCCCGGGTCTTCCCTCAGACCAGAGTGTGAAGAAGTAGCGCTGCCACGACTCGAGCAGACACGACTGGTAGATTGTCATCATCATACTTACCGAGGTAGATTCTCTTCATCTCGTCTCTCTCTTCAGTCAGGGAGTTTGGCTGTGAAACTGTCATTTTCAGTGGAGAGGTTACAAACAACATTTGATTATTGGATCAACTGAAGAAAGTATTCACTTTAAAACAAAATAACCGAGCTGGTTTTGATTACAATTATTTCAGAGCAATTATTTTCAATACAAAGAAAACAGAAGTGAGAGGCACAAATTAAGAAGACTTACAGCGAGTGAGACGCAGGGAAATGTTGAGAGCAGCTTGTAGGATACACAGGAGTCCAAAACTCACAACAACCAGTCTGTACATTTTCATTCCTGTGTGTAGAACCCAGAAACATGCACACACACAGAGGTTTATGGAGGCTGACTTGCACAAGCGGCTGTTTGAGAAACCTTACACTTTAAACTGAGATGTTGATTTTGTCTTTAATTTCTCACGCAATATATATATATATATATATATATATATATGATGATCTTTAAGTTTAAAATTAATTTTAGAAAATAAGGTTATTGTAAACTCAACAACTCTAAATGGTTGGACTATGATTTCTGTCTTACCAGGCGCTGCAGCAGGCACCTTGAAGTCTTCAACAGAGCGGCGGGATGCAGCATTCCTGGCTGAAACATCTTCAAAGTCTTCGTATATCATGGAGAGCTCATGTTCTTCTTCAAGGGAAACCATCTCATCAGTTGAGCCTCTGCAGAGTGCTGATGGTGTTTGTCAAAGTGTCTTCTTTAAAGGGCACTGATCTTCCTTTATTTAATGATTATCTCAGCATACACCTCTAACTCTCTCTCTCTCTCTAACTCTCTCTCTCTCTCTCTCTCTCTCACACACTCTCTTCTTCCTTATTTTTAAGTGATTTGCCTTTGTTCCTCAACTCAGTATTTTATGCTTTGACTGCTGCTCCATGTGTTACATGTGCATATCTTTGGGTACCTCAAAAACATTTTTCCTCCAGGAAGGAAAACTCTACTTTGTCATTACTGATCATGTTAATGTTAATTAAGTAATTAATGATCACATTAGTTTGTTTACTTTGTTCATAAAAAAACAAGCAAGCCAATCAAAATCCATAAGCAATGGCCTCTAAAGTGAATGAAAAGCTTAATCGGCACAATGCTAAGGTGTTTAAGAGCTGGTTTAAAAAACTCTGAAGTTGCTGTAAAGTTGTGTAAGTCTAAATCATAATCTGTGTTGATGCATTGTGTTATATTAATTATGTGATGTGTACTTTATTGCGGTGTTGTATTAAAAGCTATATATTTTAACTACGCTATACATGTCAAATGAAAATAAGCAACAACTCTCTGTGTAGCACATCAGATCAATGGTCTGTATTTGTTTTATTACAAAGGGGATTGTCCCAATCAAATTAATTACATTAAAATTGAACATCATGTTATCCCAGCGGGATTCAAACCAGAGCCCCCGTGATCCGAAGATCAGCACACTAACCACTGAGCCACAACCTCCCCTTTTATTCCAAAGAAAATCATCATTATTGTTGTTTAATGAAAAGACAGTTGTATTATCTGAATGACTGTACTTTATTTGCACCTGAACTGGTTATCTCTGTACTTAGTTATTAGTTTGACAATTTTTCAAAATATCACTTACAGTTTGACCACATTCAAAATGACATTATCACCAATATCCACTGTAAAATAAACCCCTGCAGTTAACTTACATAATCATCCAGTACTGACATTACTTGTTTACAACAAACTCTGAATTCTTGTTTTAATAAAATAAAAAATAGGAGAACATTGAAAGCGTAGTTTACATAGAAGGGAGAAGATGTGGTTAAGGTACAAAATTGCACTTCCCTCTATAATTTGAGAACTGCTCTTGTTGCAACATTAATTTCTCATATGACTTATGAGTCATTGATTTTGAATAGAAAATACAAATAATTTAATCTCTAAGACACAACACTATGACATGATTTAAAGTTGCTATGATTGAAATAATAGAATCTAAAAGCAGGCAGCCAATATTAAAATCGCAAAAGCAGAAAAAATACACATTTAGGCATTGCAATTACAGTTTTTAAAAAGTGAACATAAATCCTAAATCTGAGACACGACGTGACTCCAGATATCTACGTGAGAGTCCAACCCCTCCCCCACCTGGACCTCCACATTTGAATTTAAGCTGAGAATGAGAAATGAAACTTGTTCCTGTTTTTTTCATCATCGTTTTGTGGGACTAGATGTGGAGTTATGCCAATCTCTTCTCACATATCCATGCATTTGTAATATTACTGCAATGGTAATCATTCCAGCTGTTTCTTACATCTCTGACAATTATTTCTGCGCAGTCTTCGTCCAGCTTCGAACTTCCATTTGGCTCATACCAGTACCAGTAGCTGAAACGCCCCAATGAAGAAAAAAAAAGAATACATTCAAATACATATCAAAATGCTTTATTGAGATTGATAGAGATAGAATAATAAATGTCTGTCCTCAGGTCTGGTTTGTTATATGACATGAAATAAGCTTTTAAAGGACATCCCAAATGTAGTTGTGTTCAGAGAGGTTACTAATATACAAATCCTTTCTCACTAATGTGAAAATAACATAATTATGACATGAAGCTGCAGAGGGAGTGTCTGTCACAGCTCACCTTGACAATAGAAAAGGGAAATAATGAGTGAACCTTGTGGTCAGCGGAGTCCCATCGACCCACTTCCATCTGCCCTCTGTCTCTCGATCAGTGAGTCCAATCCACACGCGCTTACGAAAACTTACTATGTAGTCCTTGTTGTGGAGAGAAAAATGCACAATCACAACCACAATATAAACCGTGACATGCACATGGAGAGCTCAGGTTCTTCTTCAAGGGAACTTGTCAAAGCATCTTCTTTAAAGGGCACTGATCTTCCTGTATTTAATGATTCTCTCAGCATACACCTAACTCTCTCACACACACACACACACACACACACACACACACACACACACACACACACACACACACACACACACACACACCACACACACCACACACACACACACACACACACACACACACACACACACACACACACTCACTCACCTGTTCTTCTTGGCTGTTGATAATCACCAGATCTGCACCTTTTTGAAGACAGTCATCCCTACTCTCTTGCCAGTTCTTCTCGATAGAAGACATTTTATAGAGACTTCCGCTGAAGTACATCCATCCTTGATAAGAATAGTGGAAAACAGAAAGAACGATAAAACCTTAATACATAAATTACCAGATGCTTAATCTACTAAGTAAAGTGCCAAGGTGGTATCTACCGTATGACATAAAGGCCCACCAGCTCAACAATTGATTTCATTATCATACTTAAGGCTCTCAGAGTTTTCTTCATCTCTTCCTAAAGCCAGGTTTTTGCAACTGGCCACCACATCTCAAACATAATTCCCATTATATATTGTGTTTAACTATCAATGACATGGGTGTTTGTTTCTTATTCATAGATTATTACTGTATCAAAAGCATACAGGGAACTTGACTGTGAAGCTGTCATTTTGATTATTTTCAAGAATTCCAGATAAGTGACAACACGCTTTGAGAGGGATATATATTCATTTTTGCTAAGTTAGATGTTCAAATACATTTTGATATACATTTCAAGTCAATTTATACACTCTGATGTACAGCTATACTTGTTGCTTCAAAGTGCGTGGGGCCTCACCTCGCGGAGGGGTTCTCGTCTTGCGGAGGGAGCCTCATCTTGCGGAGGGAGCCTCAACTGAGCACCCTGCGCTTAAGAGCCGCAATTAGTGTAAGCACGGCACCGTTTCGCTGCTGCGAGGCTCCACTAGCAGGACCAGATCATTAATACAGTATATTAGTCATCTGGCATACTTAGGCATAAAAGTTATGCCAGTTTTTATGCTTTATAACAGTTTATTTTATTGTCATATGTACTGGATAAAGTGCCATTTCATTTGTGTTTTACGAGAGCTGTATTCTTCTGCCTGTATTGTCTGTGTTTTATTTGTTGTAACATTGTTCATGCTGCCCTCTTGGCGTGGTCGCTCTAGAAAAATATATTTTAATCTCAATGGGACTTTTCACCTGGTTGAATAAAGGATATATATACATATATATATACGTTTATATATGTGTGTGTGTGTTTAGTTCAGTTAAGTATATTTGTGAAGAAAGAACATCTTGTTTCCCTCTTAAAGCCTTAACACAAGAGCAAAGGTGTTATCAACAACATCTGTATCATTTCCTCTTATGAAAGGTACAATGTGTTAGATATGACAGAATTTATATTTAAAACATGAACTAACATTATCAACAGAATGTGAAGAGTCTACAGTGTTGCAGAGATATCTAGGGTTATTAGCATGCTAACTGACTAGCCAAGGCCCGTCATGTGTTGTAATATCACTTGTTCTTCTAGAAGCATTAGTGAGGGAGTTGTAGCCCGGGTCTTCCCTCAGACCAGAGGGTGAAGAAGTAGCGCTGCCATGACTCGAGCAGACACGAGGGCTTGTCAATAATTAGGTGTACAGGATTTAACTGGTAGATTGTCATCATCATACTTACCGGGGTAGATTCTCTTCATCTCGTCTCTCTCTTCAGTCAGGGAGTTTTGCTGTGAAACTGTCATTTTCAGTGGAGAGGTTACCAACAACATTTGATTATTGGATCATTTGAAGAAAGTATTCACTTTAAAATAAAATAACCGAGCTGGTTTTGATTACAATTATTTCAGAGCAATTATTTTCAATACAAAGAATACAGAAGTGAGAGGCACAAATTAGGAACACTTACAGAGAGTGAGATGCAGGGAAATGTTGAGAGCAGCTTGTAGGATACACAGGAGTCCAAAACTCACAACAACCAGTCTGTTCATTTTCATTCCTGTGTGTAAAAACCAGAAACATGCACACAGGGGAGGTTTATGGAGGCTGACTTGCACAAGTGCCTGTTTGAGAAACCTTACACTTTAAACTGAGATGTTGATTTTGATATATATATATATATATTTACAGTTCCTATAGAAAGTCATCACCCTGTGAAAATCTCTACCTTTTGTCACATTACACCCTGGAAGTGATTAGCCCCTTAAAGTTTACCATTTAAAACTTGCTCAGGTGCAACCAATTAACTTCCATATAAATCACCAGGCTAATTGGTAATGCAAATAATTCACCATGGTTGGAAAAGTGCTTTCAAAAGGCCTACATAAATGTGTAGGAGGCACAAGTAAGTTGAAGGCTACAAAAAGATATTGAAGGCTTTAGCTATCCCTCTGAGTACTGTTCAGAGCATCATTTAGAAGTGGAAAGTGTATGGCACCACTAACACCTTGCCTAGATCAGCCCGTCCGTCCAAACTGGCGGACCAAGCCTAGAGGACATTGATCAGAGAAGCTACCAAGAGGCCAAAGGCAACTTTGAAGGACTGGTCGATCTGTGCATGTGACAACAATCTCACAAGCTTTACACAAAGCTGGCCTCTATCGCAGGGTGGCAAGAATGAAGCCTTTTCTGAAAAGGTGCCACAAGCAGTCTTGTTTGTGCTATGCAAAAACACACATGGAAGATTCTGTTGCCATGTGGAAAAAGTTCATATGGTCAGATGAGACTAAGATTTAACTTTTTGGACTGGACTCCAAGCGTTATGTTTGGCCAAATGAATGGACAAATGTTCCCTAATCTCGGCGTTCAAAGCTGAGACATATTCAAATAGATTGACTGCTGTAATTGCAGCAGAAGGAGGCCATAGGAAGTATTACATCAGGGGACTGATGACTTTTTCAACCCTGTTATTCTAGTTTTTCATTTTTTATTAATATTCTCAAATGTCGCCTTGTTTTCATTAGTTTGATGTTGTCAAGCTACATTTGTAAATAAAGCAGGAAAAAGTATTTTTTTAAATAGGTTGCAGGCTGGATGATAAATAAATTAACTATTTCAAAGGGGTATGATGATTTTCTATAGGCACTGTATATGATGATCTTTAAAGGGGACCTATCATGCAAAATGCACTTTTATACGTCTTTTATACATGAATATGTGTCCCCGGTGTTCCAGGGAACTCACCAAGTGTCAGAAAACACAACCCTCTCTATTTTCCTCCATACCCAAATCTCTAAAAAAGGGGCTGCAACGGATCTGATAAAAACTGATCCAGATTTGAACACGTTACTGACGTCAGGACGGTGGCGCTACGGCTATTGGGCCAACTCTCCACCTATCAGGGGAATGTGGGGTTGGGCCACGGCCGGCCATTGCCGCTCGAAAGCGCTGGAGACGCTGTAGTACATATGCCAGGCCTGTAAGTGGCGCTGTAGTCTGCCACAAAAGCAGTGAAGAAGACTTCCCGCGCATGGTTGCCATGGTTTCCCTTCTGTTTATTCTCCGCTGTGGCTTTTTTTCTCCCTCCCCGAGGCAAGCGTTTGCTCCTGCTGCTGTAATTCAATGCAATCCCTCCCCGTCGAGGCAAGCACTGTAATTCTCTCCGGTTAGTCCACCAGCAGATGACAAACACCCACCTCTCCGCCTCTCCCAAGGAACGAGGGGACCGTGCGGCAGAGTTTCAGTTAGGTTTTCTTTCGCCGGTCAAGATGTCCGTTAAAGTTTAAATCTTCTGGACAAAATTAGAAAAGTGCCGGTCAAAGGTCTTCTTTGTTATTTATTGAGCTTTAAAACAAATGAATAACGACTCTATCTAATAATATAATAAAACACGGAGGACGGAGATCTATTTTTCTCCCCCTCTTCTGACTTGATCAGAGCACGCTCCCCTCTCCTGCAGGGGGGCGTGGTCAGCTGCAGCTCACAGAATCAGCCCCCTGCAAAAACAGGGCTGGAGAACAGCAAATAGAGCGAAATGAGGCATGGCTAAAATGCATGATCTGTTTGGTATTTTGAAAACAGAAACGTATAAATATACCTTATATAGGTATGGCCCTACAATATATCATTTAAATATAGCATGATAGGTTTCTTTTAAAGGACCCATGTCATGGCCATTTCCACTGATCATAATTCCATTGTTGAGGTATACTAAAATAGATTTATACTGTGCAATCTTCCAAACTCACATTGGTTTCGCATACAGCATCTCTGTAAAGTATGTGTATTCAGCAGTATTCACTCTCTCCACTAAGCGGCTCGTTGGAGCTCTTGCCACCCCCTCCCTGTGAGCCTAGTGTGCTCCGATTGGTCAGCTCGGCCACTCTGTTCTGATTAGTCAACCACCAGAGAGGCTCCGCCCATGTCTAACAGTGCTTTTTTCGGCTCGATCTGAGCGGAACATCAGTCTTATAATGGCGTCGGTACAGCCATATATTTTATACGCTAACTAACCGAACTGTACCTACAACTCAGTGGCGGCTGGTGGAAAATATTTTAGGTG